TGCTTAAGGAAATAGTGATGTGACAAAGGAATATCATATTATCTTACCCTGACATATTTCTGAGAAGATGGAATTTATATTTTGAAGAAAGCATCCTAAAGGGCAGGAGTTGGAAGAAGAACTTCCCATGGGACACGGCCCTTGATTTCAGAGTAATTTTCTCCTCTGAATTATTCAACCTTCATAGTTACAACCATTGCTGTAATTATATTTCAAAAAATTACCTTTAGTAAAGATAATAATCACTTTCAGTTTGAATTAAATCCAGAAAATTTAGCACATACTGAGTTCCATCAATTTTCTCTGCATGCATATATTCATGAAAATTTCTCAAATGTCCTTCAGGGGGTCATATTCTTATTTAGTGAACAAATACATAAATTCATAATTGTTTTGAGTACATAAAAGAACATACATATGACACACGGGGGTAAATTCAAAATTAAATTAATGATGGAGAAAAGAAAACCAATATAGAAATTTCTTAAAATTACATATATTATTACATATAAAATTACATATAAGAATACACTCATGCATATACCTTTTTTTTCCACTGAGGTTTGATATGATCACTACTAATGTGAGAAAACCTAACAAGAAGGGGGATATAATAAATACAAACATGCCTCCTGTAATGCAATATTTTCAGTTGTAAGTGTGGAGATTTCAAGAACAAAATAGTCATCTTGAATGAGCATGCCAAAGGTAAATTAACATTCTTCACAGAGAGTAGGAAGTTAGAATTTACTTGGAAAAAAACACCAAGTTCTGTTACCCACTGCAATTTAAAGAACACAGTTTCTCTCAATAAAGGAAGCTAGTCAGTAGTAATTTGAAACCATATTTCATTCATTCCTTCATTCATTTATTTTTTCATCATTCATTAAATATTTATCATGCTCCAGGCATTGTTCTGTGAACAAAACCAAAATCCCTGTCATCTTGGAACTTAGACTAGAAGGGGCAAACAACACTAAAGAAGATAAAATAAAAAGAATGGGACTGACTAATAAATGCTAACCTAAAAAGAAAGCCAAAAAGAGAGGTATAAAGTGGTGTGGGCAGGAACATTTGTATTTAGAATGGCCGTGGAAAACCTCATTGAGAAAATAACATTCAAGTAGTGTGAACCATAAGATACCTGGAGAAAAAAAAATATTCCAAGCAGAGGGTAGGCAAGTACAAAAGTCATAAAATGGGAGTGTGCCCTGGTGTTGTGTCTGATGCAGTGGGGCTTGCATAACTGGGTAAGTGGGAGGAAAGTAGGTCACAAGAGCTGGTCCAGGCAGATTCAGGGTCACAGGAAGGACTAGCTTTTGCTCTGTTTTTTCCACTGATCTCAGGATAAACATAAATCTGTAGCATGACACTCACAGTCTCCCTAGTCTGGCTCACTGGAGTCCTATTTCTCCCCACTCACACACGATGTACTTTACGCTGAAGCCATGTGAAGGCACCAGGTTGTCTCTTCCTTCAGGATCTTTGCACGTGCTATTCCTTCTGCCTGCAGTATGTTCCTTCTCCCTACTATTTCCTTTCCTGTTTTTGGATGGTTGGGCGAATTCTGGGTTTTGACTCCTCCAGCAAGCCTTTCTATACCCTATGTATTCCCAACTGAGTTGAGTGCCTTCCACGTGTTTACAAAGAATGTAACACTAACCCTATCATCACCCTTATTACATTATACTGAAATTGCCTATTTACATGTAAAGCCTTGTTCCTTGGATCTGTTTATCAGATCTACATAAAGAATTACAGTTTTGAAAAATCTCTATTTCTGAACCATTTTGTAAAATTTTCAGATCTTTCATGTCACTGAAACAGTTTAGAATAAAACTTGTTGGTTTATTAATTAAGAAATGCTAGCTAACTTAATCAAGCTTTACCTAGCCAGAAACTCCCAGTAGAAATAAAACAGGGAGATTAAAACACATCAGTTACAAAGGCACTTCTTTTTGTTTGTTCTCAGTGGCATTCCCCATTAAATCTTTCTCTCTGTCTTCCCCACTTAATAAAATAAAGGCCACAGGGAACAAGAAGCAAGTAATCAAAGTAGGGAACAACATCTCACTCTCTTCCCTAACAGTTCTTTCTTTAATACTTTAGAAAAGCCTGGGGAATCAGAAGCTGTCAGCAGGTAAAAGAAACGTGCTTTTAAGTACTTTGATGTCAAGCTAAACTGAAGCCAATCAACCAATACAAACCTTAAAAGGGCCTAAGAGTCTAGACTCAAAATTAGAAAATCAAGATGAGTTACAGAAAATGTTCTAAGCAAAATGTGTGTGTATTTATCATACACACATATGCAATCAATTAATTTTAAAAGAAAACAACAGGAAGTGAGAATGGAACCATTATTTAACTTTTTTTTTTTTTAGGTTTCTCTAAATCTTTTCTTTGATGTTTGACTAATATATCAAATTTAATATGTTGATACAGATAATATTTTTATAATATATAAATAAGCTTCCTAATCTGTACACCAATTAGAATTCAGGCCTTAATACTAATAAAATCAAACAGTGGAATTATGCAAAAATCATAGAACAAGATTTTAATCACAGACTAAATCTCTTTTAAAAGATGAAAATGCAAACCTAAAATAAAACATGGATTATAAAAGGTTTTCAGAAAATTTATATTATCTATTACAATAAAACATGTTCTTATATGAATAACAAGCTCATTTGGTAAGGAAGTGCCTTCCCTATTCAGTCCCAATGTGAACTCTGTTTCTGTATACTTTATTCCAAAAAATACACAGTTCCCACATTCAGGCTAATAAAAAGTACCAAACAGTATATCTGTGGCATCATTTTATTTTTTGTTATGTTCTGTCTTGAGCCGTCCAGCATTTGAAGTCCCTTCTTACTAGGTGGGAATTTTCCCTGTACAAGTCCTAGAAGGAGGCAGGGCACCAATTCCTACCATGAAATGCAAGATGCAGGGATAATTAGAGTGTTACTTGGTAGCAACATTCAGTGGTAACAATTGACTTAAGCCAGCAATGCTAGCAGCCGGGAACTAACTAGAATCTAGTTACTAGACAGTTTGTGGTTTCTCCTTAACTCTATTAACTGCTACCCATTCTTCAGTCTTCCCTCCCAATAAATTACTTTTATGCTTAAATTGGCTGAAGCTAGGATCTGTTGCTGCAATCAGGCTGACACCCAGCCTGAGCAAAGC